TGAGTTGAAAGGTCCATGTGAGATCCACTTTTTTTGGATTAAGATGCAAATTTACTCTGAAAGTTTTTATTCAGGAGCACTAGGTATCTGGAATTTTTTTAATTCAATGTCACATGAAAATTCCAAATCTTAACAATGTTATATGTTGATATTTCAATTTCATTCCAAAAATTTTAAAATTTGCCCTAAAAGTTTTTACCGAAAGAGAATTCATTTTATATAATATCTTTTTAATCACACATCGTGCATGAAAATACCATACAAATTCTTAAACAAATTATTTTAAATTCTCTTAACTGTTATGCAAATTAAGTTTAATTTGACCATTAGCCAAATATTCTGAGCTAATAAGACCACTTGTCATCCATTTCACTTTTTTCAAGGTGGGCACTTAGCATAACGCTGGGAAAATCATTGCTTTCCAGGCCCATGTTATTCCCATAATCGACCCCATTGTTTACATTTTTTAAGAACTCTCACGAGCTTCCCCTCTACATATATAATTTACTTATTATGGTTATGATCCGTGAATGAAGTGTGGAAAGAGTTGTTTTTGTGTGGAAGAAATGGGGTTAGGGTTATGAATCAAGAATGAGATGGATAACTTGGGAAAAAAAAATGAAGTGAATTATATGTGGGTTTACCAGTGTAACTTATTTGGTTAATTAATGATCAAATTTAACATGAATAACAAACATTGCTACAATTTGAAAATTTTCGGACACCTAGCAATCCTGAACAAAAACTTTCTAAGCAAATTTGCACTTTAACCTTTAAAAAAAAAAACTTCCATAAGTGAAAATTTCCTGGGCAAATTTACATCTTAACTCAATTTAGAAACATGTTTCTTAATTATATATCATTATCAAGATAGCTTAATCAATGGGAAAGGAATAATCTTTGTCAACTTATTTTATTGGAAATGAAATCTGGAAAAAACCTATAATTCATTTTCAATAACTATGACAACAAGTGACAATAGCATCTTTTACATAACTAAACAATTTTGTATTACGTTTTGTCTAATTCTGGAATTTATAACTGCAAGAAAACTCTCATCCTCCCTTAATTAGATCTTCCGCGACATGTATTGCAAAATCGATGAATGGGTGAATAAATGTAAAATGGACGAGATCTAACATTGATTTAGCGGTGGAAACTCGTATAATTTTTTGAGTATAAAAAAGTACTTATGAAATCCATTGACATGTTTGGGTAGTTTTCATGACCAGATATGAATGTTTTTAATTAAATGATATTATTTTAATCAATACTAATTTGATCCAAGTCGAACTAGGGTCACCTGCCAATCTATTAAAAATGACGAGTTAGGATTAATTAAAAGCTAAACTACTAATAAATGAGTTTTTTTAACCTATATTGTTAGACTTGCAATTTGTTGCTTGTTTGACTGCAAAACCGTGGGCTACGTTTTTTTTTTTAAAAATTTTATTAATATTAAAATTATGGTATTATGTGTTATATTCTATCTAAAAAAATAAAAAAAAACTCATAATTTCAATCAAGTATTTAAAAGAAAACAAATTTGATTATGTTTTTTATATTGTATAAAGACAAAATTTAAAAAAACATATATTTTTTGAAAAAAGTAAATAATTGTTGCCTAAATAGCGGGTTAAGGTTAGTCAAAAGTTACAGGATGTTTAACAATTGTTCAAAAAGTACTTTTGGATCCCAAATCATAGTTTGAGTCCAAAAATATCTAAATACTCTTATTTTTGGCAAAACTATAGATTAGATTAAAACCATGGTTTCTGCCTCCTAAACCATAATTTCGGAGAAAGCAAAAAAATTTTGTTTTTGGGTTGAAAAACTGGATGTTGGAGTAATTATTATGGGTGTCAGAAGGAAGGCAACGGTATTTGGACAATAATGCCCTTTAGATTGAAATCAAAATATGACCTTATCTAATTAACTGCGTTCGATAAAAGCTTCACTCTTCACTGTTTTTGGTTTTAATTAGTGTTTATTTTATAATTTTTAAGGTAAAATAATTTTTTTCTGTTAGCAAAAAAATTCATTTTTTCCAAAAGAATTTTTAATTTTTAATTTTATAAATATATATACAGATACTAACAATTAGTTAGTTAATTATATTGGCAAAAAAATTATGAGCAAATTTATTACTTCAAATGAAGATATAAATTAAAATATATTTTTTATGTAATTATCGTATTAACTCATGTACTTTTTGATAATTTGGATCTAAAAAAGTATTTCTGACAATAACTATTTAAACACTCTCATTTTATCAAAATCACTCTTTTCATAAAATCTATTCTTTTAAAATTATTTTTTTTAGACACTATTCTTATGTTTGAATTCCAAACACCCCCTCCAACAAATATGCCCTTTTAGCTCTACTATTGCCCCTCCTAATCCTAAGTTGACTCGGGTGAACCATTAACCCCATCTTGGCCGGTTGAACAAGGGATCCAATTATAATTTAAGCTTTTAAATTTTATATTTATTTTTATATTTTAATTTTGAAAAAAAAAAGCAAATGAAGACCTCCAGTATGTGAAATTATGATTTAGGACTCTCAATTTAAAAAATAGCAAATAAAGACCGGGTCCCATATTGTAAATATGAAATCTTGATGAAATATCTGAAATGCCTCTCAGCCAAGTTGTCTTTGGTTTACTGAAATTGTTATTCGCTAAAGTGAACTTGTTATTTCCTATAGTCAAATTGTCATTTAGCATATTCTCAGCCAAGTTGTGATTTGGTCTACTGAAATTGTCATTCACTAAAGTGAATTTGTCATTTTCCATAATCAACTTATCATTTGGTTGAGGGGTATTTCAGATATTTCACCAATATTTCATATTTACAATATGAGATCAGTCTTTTTTTTGTCATTTTTCAAATTGAGGTCCCAAATCATAATTTCATATATTAGGGTGTCTGTATTTGCTATTTTCCTTTTAAAAATGCTTAAATTTAATTTTCAACAATATTTCTTGAAAATTTCTAGCCTTAGACAAAACGCACCGAACGAGTCACTTTCGTATGCGCGATAGATATTGGGTATGTTTGGATTGTCATTCCAAACGGTAAAAGCACATGGGAAAGGCTGTAACGGAGGTTGGTGGCTTATTTGAGGCAAAATGATTGTTTGGACGAGTTGCTTTTGAAACTGACTTGTAACAAAAAGCAACTTATTTTCGAACGCCCCCAGCTCCAGCTTTTCCACCGTTCATAATGCATTTTACCGTTACCAGGGCAATTAATGGGTATTATTTCTCTCACCTATCATTTTCACCTAACCCGAAGCCTCAGAACACTCGACCCTCCACTCGACCGAGCTCTCCTCTGCATTCGACCTTGGAGATCACTCTCGGCACTCGCTCGCCTTCTCCCGTGGGTCTCCGTCCGTCACTCTCTCTGGCGTCTCCGTCTGTCGCTCTCTCCGGCGTCTCCATCCGTGGATCTCGGCGGCTGTTCTCCCTCCAAGGCCGAAGCGACAGATCTGTGTCATCCTTCCTTACCATCACCGACGTGTGTGCGCAAGGAATCGCGGCTGTCTTCCTCCGCCGGTCAAGGTACCATGGTTGCCTTTCTGTTATTTTTGCTGAACCTTAGAACCACCCCAAAATTCAATATTAATTTAAACCCGGTCTCTGTTTTTGGACTTTTGGTTGTAATTACCAGTTGAAATTTATATACATAATCGACAACATTCGTCAGACGTCAAATGTTCTTGTCGAAGCGGGTGTTTTTTTTTTTTCCCTTTCTCCTCCGATCAAGGTACGAAGGCCGAAGCGGGTGTTTTTTCTTTTCCCTTTCTCCTCCGGTCAAGTCCTGTGTTTTTTTTCCCCTTCTCCTGCGCACGTTTAGTTTGACCGAAGTGAACCAGTGCCGGTGTGCCCCTGTCGAAGTGAACCAGTTTCTGATCTGTGGATATAATATTTAGCTAGGATATGTGCAATTTCTGATCTCCAGTGCAAACATATGCTTCGGTCAAAATAGATATGTGGATATATTTAGCTAGGATATGTGCAATTTCTGATCTCCAGTGCAAACATATGCTTCGGTCAAAATAGATATGTGGATATATTTAGCTAGGATATGTCCAATTTCTGATCTCCAGTGCAAACATATAGCTAGGATATGTCCAATTTCTGATGACTGCTTTATACAAGCTGAGCATGGAAGTATAATAGATGAAGACAATAATCATCCAGCTGGTGAGGCATCCTCGTCAAGTTTAACATCTGCCGCACAAATGAATCGTGTTCGTGACTCAATTAGAGACCAAATTGTGGAAAGCTTACGATCTAATTAGTTATGTGATTTTATTTACTTTAATTAGAGACCAAATGAATTTTAATTTAATTTATGTTTATGTTCGTCCATTATATATATTTAATTAAGTACGATCTAATTATTTATGTAATTTTATTTACTTTAATTAGAGACAGAATGAATTTTAATTTATGTTCATGTTTGTCCATTATATATATTTAATTAATTATCTAAAATGTGTTTTTAAATTTTTTTTATCTTATAATCTCACAAATAAACTATTTTTATTTTATCATAATAATTTTAGATATTTTTTAACAATTATCACATTAAAAATATCAAACACTACTATTTAATAAAATATATGTCATTTTTAGTCATTTTACAACTGAACTAACTTTTTTATTCATCCAAACAACTTTTAACTTTTCCAACTGATTTTTTAAAAGCACCTATCCAAACATACCATAACTGACTTTTACTCTAACTTCAGTTACAAAAGTCAGTTGGACTAAAAGTCAGTTTTGCCCAACGCCAATCCAAACATATTATCAAGAAAGAATCTGTTATGCATCCAAATTAGGCTTGGACCGTTTTGCCTATCGATTATACCTTTTGCGACAGGGATCTTGCATTGTATTTGTATTCAAATGGTTGTTTTCGAGCCTATTAGTTGAGCTTCGGAGTTCAATTCGCTTATTCAGTTTTGTAACTTGAAGTTTTTAAGCGTCATAATTTCAGAAGAGTACATGAACATGAAGTCACTCAGGGCCACTCCTTCCTCGCTCCTGTAAGGTGTAAATATCGTAGTGAAAGCAAACCCAAAAATATCAACGCATCGAGTTAACCATGGCTTCGTGGTGCTCGTCGTCTTGTTCAGTCACCTCCATCACCTGCCGCTGCTCTGTTCAGTGTCACTCTTTCCAATTGCACAATCGCCCTTTGCTTCATCTGAATGCTTTCCCACCTACTTCGTCTTCTCGAGTTGCCCCTATTAGAATTAAGCTTCCATTTCACAGAAACAACTCATTCAAGCACAGGAATTCAAGTGGGTGTAGTAGAATAATTGTTTGTTGCACGAGCAGTGATACAGAAATGGACTTGAAGGATTCATTACGTTCGCCGTCAGACATCGACTGTGTAGGAACAGGGCAAGACGTTGAGTGCCTCATTGAGCCGGATGAAGAAAACGGGAAATCGGTGGAAGTGGAATCGTTGGGAATTTCTATAGAGGGGTTATTGGAATGGGCTGTGTTGGTGTCGCCTTTCTTCTTTTGGGGAACGGCTATGGTGGCCATGAAGGAGGTGATTCCCAAATCTGGACCTTTCTTTGTGTCTGCATTTCGTCTTGTTCCCGCTGGTTTTCTCCTTGTTGCATTCGCTGCTTCCCGAGGTCGACCTTTCCCATCTGGTTTTAACGCTTGGCTGTCCATCTCTCTCTTTGCTGTTGTCGATGCTGCTTGTTTTCAGGTGCGTGCCATCTTGTGTGTTCCTTCATATTTTCGGTGATGTTATATCACTTGCTGCTGGCTTTTCTCTGTCCAGTAAATTTATAATAAGTATTAAAGGCAGCAATCGTTTGCCGCAGGGCTTTCTTGCTGAAGGATTACAAAGGACATCAGCTGGTTTGGGCAGTGTACGTTGGCGGATAATTTCTTAATCTAGTTAACTGTTTAAATGATGTTGCCTGAGATGTTTTTTATTTCAGTCGTGGCATACTGAAGTTATGTCCATTTCCAAGAATAGAAGATCAGGTGTATATTACATTGGCCATTATGAATGATTTTAATAATTGTTGGCAGTGAAGTTGCTACATGAATCAGCGCCTCGGTGTTATAATAAAATGTTTAATAAGTAACAACAAGACTTTGTTTTCTATGATTTTTTTTATTAATTCACGAGAGATTATTTAACTCACATGTACACCAAGCAAATGGGAGGTCTGACGGTTGTTAAGTAAACCACATCTATGATACGTCTTTGGGTTCATTTTTTATTGGCTTGGTATACTTAGGATTGTCTTAAAATGTTTTAGTCCATTTCTCTTTGCTTTCCAATCATAACAACTCCCTCGCAGTCTGACTAAACTTTCTGGTTCTATGACTCATTAAATATATTGCAGGTCATAATTGATTCACAACCTTTGACTGTGGCCGTTCTTGCAGCCTTATTATTTGGAGAGTCCATCGGAATTGTTGGAGCTGCGGGGCTTCTTTTGGGTGTAATAGGACTTGTGCTTCTTGAGGTAAATTTTTCAGTCGGTATTTCTAGTCCAATTTTACTTTAGCTTAGGATGTGGAGTATCATGCTCATCATATTGAGTCCTCAATCAATATATTATTGAGGTTCGACAGTTGACCCGTTAATAACACCTTTCCTACAGCTTACCCCAAAAAACCAAAAAAAAAAAAAAAAGAGGAGAAGGAAACTGCGCTTCCCACTTTGACTGCTGGGAGTGCCAATTGATAGATTCTACTTACCTTACACAGTAGCTGTATGAACTAATCAGCTTTCAACAACTTGCATATTTTATGTTATGTGAAAATGTCACTAGATTGTAGGGACATACTCTGCATCCAAACACCAATGTGAGGCCACCTTTCATGTCTTTAAATAAAAGGATTCCTTTTCCATGGTATGTAAATCAATATATATGCAATATTTATAATACTTGCTATCATTATTCAACAGTAATTTTCTCGTAGTAATTTTTTTCCTTTTTTATTTACGGACATGACTTCTGCATATGCAAAATAATGTTTTTTTTATCTCATTCCCTTTTACCGTGTCATGCTCAGGTGGCGGAAATTTTTGTGTGTAAATCTAAGCCAAGTTTGTTGCAATATCATTATTGTTCTGCTGTGGAACAAAATGTCTGCTGTATAGTTTTAAAATAACAGAAAATCCATTTTGATTCCTAAATTATAGGTGGACTTTCATTTTGTTTCTCCATAGATCATTTTTTCAGTTTAGTCTTTGAATCTTTCAAATGCTTGCAGTGTTGTCCTTCTATCTCATTTGCTTTCAACTTTCAATCTCTAAGGCCAAACCTGACTATATGAAGACTTGGATGTTATTGAGCGGCAAAGAATATCCAAATCAGTAGATTGTCCACTTTAGCATTAAATTTTGGAGGAAAATATGTTGAATGTTACTGATCAATTAGTTATCAATATGTTAGATGTGTTTACCCTCTCACTTAAGTTCTTTTCTCCTTCAATTTCTGTCTATTGTCTTCCTCCTTTCTCTTTATATCTCCTTCCATCCTCTCCCCTCAAGGCATTATTATAACCCCAACAATAAACATAAATGCACACCATTCTACAAAAAACTTTTCTGACACCAAGTTTTATATGTTGCAATTATCTTTTACGGTTTTATATCTCCCATCCAATCAGTGCGTCATTCTTGTAGAGATTGGGCTACGTTATAAATCATTATGTGCCAGTGCTTTATGTGTTTCTGCCTCTATTCATTCCTTTTTTCTTCTTCTTCCCTCCTTTTTAATTTTCAACAGTACAAGAAATCGCTGGTCTTGACAATAAAGTTAAGGTTCTGTCCCGTTACACTGCATCATAGAAATGCATTTAATCGGACTTTTTTTTTTCTTTTGGCTATCTGTTTGTGTAATATCTGGATAATTATCCTACTCATCACCTTGGTGTCCGTACTTGTCACTTTAAGGTTCAGTTTCTGCCTCCATTGAAACTTGGTCAATTTAAACTTTTCAGCCTTTATAAGAACAATGTTTTGGAAACTTGACACAGCTCCCCACCTTGTATTGCATATTGACAAACTCAATGGAAGCATTTCATCAGATATGATTAACCTTATCAATCACTGTAAAATGCACCTATCTAAGATGTTTAGCTGAGCTACTGCTGTGGCTCCTCTCCCTATCCTATTCACAGTCTAGCCAGGGGAGAAAAAACTAAAGTTATCTTGCCACCCCAGCACAAACTGGAAACAGCAGTCGAATTTTTATACATGAAGTAAAGGACATATCTTGAATCACTTACCACAATAAAGATTTGGGTTATAGTGCATCCATTACCCCAAAATATTTTCTTAGGTGCATCTAGCATTTCGAAGTATTTTGTGGTGTATCTAACACCCTGAAGTATTGTTTTAAGTGCATCTGTCACCTTGAAGTATTTTTTTGGTGCATCGAGCATCCTAAAATGTTTTTTCAGGTGCGTCTAGCACCATAAAATATTTTTCCATAGCAAAAAATATACTTCAGGGTGTTGGATGCATCACAAAATACTTCGGAGTGGATGCTCTCAAGAAAATATTTCAAGGTGCTGGATGCACTACAAAATACTTCGGGGTGGATGCGCTCAAGAAAATACTTTAGGGTGCTGAATGCACCTTAACCCAAGATATTTTTGTAATTTTTTATTTAAAATTAATAATGCATTATTCCTTGAAGCCTGTTGAATTCCCTCCAGATTTTATTCACTTTTTTAGTTGTTTTTTTTTTGGTAGTTGCCTGCTCTGTCATTTGATGAGAGCAATTTCTCACTCTGGGGGAGTGGGGAGTGGTGGATGCTTCTTGCTGCTCAAAGCATGGCAGTTGGCACGGTCATGGTTCGCTGGGTCTCTAAGTACTCTGATCCTGTGATGGCAACTGGATGGGTAGGATTCACGGTCTTTCTGTAGTGTTTCATAGTCTTATTGATTATCGTTGTTAGTTAAAATGCAATTTTGGCGGATAATTAGTTTTCTTTCCAATCAATTCATACAAGTTTCAACCTATATCTCAGCTCTCTTATCCGTATAATTATTTAATATATTGGTAGCCTCTATATTCATTACCAGTAAATAAAAAGGACAGAATGGCAATTTTAAAAACTATACAGATAAACATGCTGGACTCCTTTCACTGAAGTTATTGGAGTTGATGAGTATTGTTTTATGCTAAGAAGGTTAGATTACAGGAGGATTATGGAGAAAAGCAAAATTTATCATGGTTTTGCAATGATGTAAGGAAGCAAGGTTAATGCATATGCTATTGTGGTTGCAGCACATGGTAATTGGTGGTCTCCCTCTTCTGGCAATCTCCATTCTTAACAATGATCCTGCCATTAGTGGAAGTTTTAAAGAGTTCAGTTCAACTGATATACTGGCGCTCCTCTATACTTCAATTTTTGGAAGTGCTGTCAGCTATGGCGTATTCTTCTATAGTGCAACTAAGGGTCTGTATATTTCTCTTATACTATTATATATCTTCAAATTTCATCAACCAACTCCAGCTTTCTCTTGACGTTCAGAGTTGGAGTGACTCTTTTCATATTCCATTTTGTAATTCGCTTGTGTTATTGATACATTATTAGTAACATATGCATGATTCAACTCTGGTTACAAGTAAATCTTAAAACTCCATATTAATAATGCTTTTGTGATGTGTTGCAGGTAGCTTGACCAAGCTCAGCTCCCTCACGTTTTTGACCCCAATGTTTGCTTCCATTTTTGGGTAACGGGCTCTTTTCCTTGTCCAACTTTAAACCGTTTTCACTTTTATGATAGTACCGAAGGCCTACGACTCATGCCATCCAGAGCAAGAAGCTTAGTATAGAGGGATAGAACATATCCTTAGTTGAATTGTAAAAATAACCAATGCTTAATTGTAAAAATAACCAATGCTTAATTGTAAAACTATCTTATTAAAATGCTTTTGCACTAAAGTAAGGGAAAATGACATCCAAGGGCTCAACTTAAAAAGCCGACAACTAAAGACATGAAACATAAACCAAAGACCACAAGCCACTACTTGTGATCTCTCAAGTTAGAACATTATTTACTGATATTACATCGGTGTTTTTGTTTTGCCATTGTTCTTGAATGAAAATACGTGTAAACTTTGGAAGGTCAAGTTGTTACTCTATGGAGCAATAATGGTAACTTTGACACCGATGTTAACAAATGGTTTTTCAGGGAGATATGATTTTTAAGGTCCTTTTATATCAATATTATACAGCTTTGGTTCTGTAGGTTTTATTTTCCCAGATATTGAGTTGAAATGTAAGACCCAAAAAAAGAAAAGACTGAAAGCCGTGAGAGTCTTTCCTATTGTCAGGCCAGATTTTAAAAGATGACTAAATTCTTAAAAGGCGATGGTGGTTTGCTACCAATGGCATCATTCACAAGTCATTACTTCTTTCTTTGATCTTTTAACCCTTCTTTAGTGTCGTGGTTTCTTTATTATCTATCCCTTTCCCTCATGCCGTTGTTATTTACATATTTATTTTAATTTTCAGGTTTCTGTATCTGGGTGAGACCTTCTCACCTTTACAACTAGTTGGGGCCGTTGTTACTTTGGCTGCAATATACATGGTTAACTATAGAAACACTTCAAAATGAAGATATACTGAAATACTCCATATTTTATAAGTTCTTTGCGCCTGAACA